AGTACTTTAAACTGTATAAATTAGTTACCCGGGCAATTGATTTACATTAGCCAATCAGACGAAAGTCCTCCTATGACCTGAAAAGTACACGCAACTCTACACAGGTTAGATTAAACCCATATAGTTAGTGACACAACTGAGGCTGGAATGACTAAAGCTAAAAATTGGAAGTTAAAATTTTTAAAAAAATTTTGGTGCATTTTATAGTAAAGTAAGATTTAAACAAAAGAGTATAAATGAATTTTATTAAGGTTCATATTTTTAAATATTGATCTCTGATTTTTCAGCTCCGTCCATTTCCAGCTTTGGCTACGAAGTAATTATTTTAAACAATAATGATAATTAATGTTATATTATTTTTTATTTAGAATGTTGGCAACAGAATTCAAATCAACGTCCATCAATTCAGCATGTTTTTGAAAATTTAAATGCTATCGAACATAATTATAATTTAACGAATAATAAAGAAATTATTACAGAAAGTAATAAAAAAATTATTACGGAAAATGATAATAAAATTACTACGGAAAGTGATAATGAAATAGAACACAAAGACATGTCAGATTCAGAGGTTGAAGGTTTAAATACAACAAAGTTGCTAGAGTATTATACCGATTTGTATGATAAAACTACTTATGAATTGAAATTAATCTCATCAATAATTGAATCTCTTAAGAAAGAAGATGATATAGTTGATAGTCAAGAAGAAGAAATATCGTATAAATTCTCCAAAATTACTTTAAACACTACACATGAACAAGAAAAAATTGATTATAAACACAAATTTCTTCATGACTTGATTCAATTATTTATATCCCAATACAATATTCAAGGAGGTTCAAAAACTACATTTGGTTCTATAGTAAATTGTATAAATAAATATATAGACGATAATAATAGAACACAATGTGAAGTTTTTTATGAATGTTATAACCATCAATACAAGCTTTACTTTACAAGTATTATTGGATTTTTTTATGAATATGGAATTGGAATAGCTGGTAATTATTCAAAGGCATTTGACATGTATAATCAAGCATCTAAAGAACATTATTTTGACTATAATAATAAAAATTTAAATAGTCATTATTTTACAAATGATTTGCTAAGAGAAAATCAAATTATTGGATTAATATCTCTTGGAATACTTTATACTGATGGAAAGGGTGTGGATGTAAATATACCAAAAGCGCTTTCTTTATTTTTGAAATCAGTTGCCAAAGGCTCTAGTTTGGGAAAAAGCTATGTTGGAGACTTTTATAATCATGATATGATTAAAAATAAGAAATATTCTTTCAATTGGTTTTTGGAATCTGCCAAAGAAGGAAATGCAAGAGCACAGAATAAAGTTGGATATTGTTATGAAGTTTGTGAAGGTATTTCAATAAATGAAAAAGAAGCCCTTAAATGGTATTTAAAATCAGCTGAAAATGGAAATTATTTGGGATACCGGAATCTTGGCGAATGCTATCATTATGGTACCGGAACTTCTGTAAATGAAGCGAAAGCTTTTGAATATTATTTAAAATCTGCTGTAGGTGGAAATAGTTTAGGACAATCTGACGTTGGTTATTGTTATCAATATGGAATAGGAATACATAAAAATGAAATGCTTGCTTTTGTATGCTACAAGATGTCCGCCGAAGGAGGAAATAGTACAGGTCAAGATTATCTTGGTGACTGTTATGCAAATGGTATAGGAACTTCTGTGGATGAGGAGAAAGCTTTTGAATGGTATATGAAATCTGCAGAGAATGGAGATAGTTCTGGACAAAACGATCTTGGCGAATGTTATAAATATGGTATAGGAACTTCTATAAATTATATTAAAGCTTTGGAATGGTTTATGAAGTCAACCATGAATGGTAATAAATCTGGAGAAGAAAACTTTAATGATTTAAAAAGCAAACTTGATGCTTTTAAAGTAGTAATTACTTCTCAGCTATGATCAAGCCGATAAATTTATCAGCTTAGTGGTTTAGTTGATTAATCGACTTAAAGTACTGATATATATTAATTCCTTTATACTGTATATAGATAATTGCTATTTGTACACTACGTGTATATGTGTCGTACGTCAGAATGGAATTATTGTAGATTTAGAATCTACTTAGATTGAACAAAATTCCAAATTTAGCCCAAGTTGATACTAAATTTTAAAGTAACTTAAGTATAAATTTGATAGCAACTTAAGTCGATTTTAAATTCGATACTGTATCGATTGATGTAGCGATAATTAAATATAACATCATGTCATAATAAATCGTCAAAATAAATACAAATTTTTTATTTTATTTTATTTTTTTCTGCAATTTTCTCTAACCGATAACCAATCTCAAGAGTAATGCATTTAAGTCGGCTAATAGACGACGTAAACCCTTTATAACACGCGAAGACTTTGATTCTTGTATTAAGGTTTTACAAAATCCAGCAAATTTAACAATAGAGATTGTGAAAGATCGTTATTGGGTAAAAATACATTTGGAATACGTGCTTGAAACACAACTTATTAAATTTGACTCAGACCTACTTGTGTTTATTGGGTTTCGACAAGTTTCCAGAGTTGGAGAGTATTTCTTCAATGCTCATAACGTTCGAAAAGCGTCTATTATGCAACCTCATCACAAATAAGTTCTGTAATATTAGATGCAATTGCAAAAATTCGTATGACAAAAATAATTACAAATGTAAAAAAACGAATTTACCCTGTGAGAGTAGTTGTCATTCTATAAATCATAGATGTAAAAACTTTGTGAATTTAATTAATTTGCATGCGCTGTGTTATGAACAAACCCTATCCTACAGTAAAGAGAAAACAACGTATCCGGTGAAATAATTTGGACACATTTGATTTTGTTGCAAGTTGAATTGGAATTCTTTAACGACTTGGGAGCATTTTTAGAATCTATGTTCATTCGGTATCATCTATGTGGATTCTAAATCTATAATAATTCAATTCCGACGTACGACATATACATGGATATTGTTATTTTTATTAATAAAGCTACTTTTAGGGCTTTATCAAAAAAGATTCCTTGCAAAATTTTAGTATAAACTATGCCTTTTCTAAGATCTAAAACTAACCTTAATCTAATATTGCACGGGGAAAATTTGTTGTGAATTGGCAGTTAGTCTTCAACTTGATAACTAATAAAGGGCAATTGCGACATTATACATAAATAACGTAAGTTATTCCATGTACGTACGTATCATATGACTATTTGATATTTGTTTCTTCACATACACTTAGCCATTGTCTCTTTTGTATCTTTATTACGTAATGACAGTTTAATTTGCATACATGCATTATTTATTATATTCATTAACGATCTTATTAAGGAGGTAGTTTGGGTGTAACAGTTCTTACGTATAGATGTAATAGTTACTGTATATCCAGCTGCACAGGATATAACTGATTTATCACCTGTTTAATCCAATGAAAATGTAAGTACCGAAAGTTTTCTACTATATTGGCTCTTTTAAAATAAATGATTATAACGAGAGGAAAGTTTTTAATCGAAGTATGTAGAAAGTATATAATGCGGATAACAAAATAAGCTTCTAACATTAAACAATTTCTAAAATAAATGATGACATATACCAGTAAAAATAAGTACATACGTGCCTGATAACTATATCAATAAGTACATGAAATGTGTCATGGTGATGAGGTTGGCCAGAGGATAAGATGAACTTAGCACACCATGAACGGAGTTTAAATGCATAGAATTTAATATAATTTAATATAATATTATTCAGAGGATAAGGTTTAATATAGGTTAAATATTAAAATTATAAGCATTAAAATTAATCTTAAAGTTCTTGAGATTAAATTATTTAGTAGTATAAATTGGTAATTATTGTTAATGTTTAATCTGACTGTGTTTAGGTGGTTTAAATTTTTTTATTGAGAGCACCATTATATAATATAAAATTGACTTTACAAAAACTATCAAAATTGATTTAACATGCTGATAATGTATTATCAAATGCAAATTGTTGTCAAAAGTAAGTATTTTTTAGCATTTTGTTACTACAATTTAATTTTATAAATATATTTGCCAATTACTATGCTAATAAAATATTAATATTGACATTATATTAGCAATATTTTGGCAATAATAAAGATCTAAAAAAATTATCAATATTTAACCAATTTATTAAGTATTTAATAGCATTGATAGTGAAATAAATTTGTAATAATGAATAATAAATTATTAAAATAGCTAATTTAATACTAATGATGCATTTTATATTGCTTATAAATTGCAAATATTTGCAAAATTTATAATTTCAGAATATAATAGTTTAAATTTTTTCAAAGTCAAATGGAATGCAAATTAATATTACTAAAATACATTAACTCCACTTAATCTGAAATAATGATTAATTTCTGTATTCTTTGTATTGACTTAGTTACAACAAATGTCCGATCAATAAAAATAATTGTCTATTGACAAAAAATATTGTTTTTATTCAATCAGTTTCAAAGTTCTCTGAATAAAGAGTAAATATTATTCAGTTTTAATTTAGTTATTGGGCTTTTACAATATTACGAATATTCTCGTCAATTATGAGCTTATTTGATTTAATAACTTAGACTAAATTATGATTTAAAAAAAAATGATTATATATACGTTTGAATATAATACATATGATTATATTTATAAAGAGTTTAAATTATTTAAATTTAGATTGTTTCTGCTTCCTTAGTTCCTACTTCTCTAGTTCCCATTTCTTTATTTTCCACATCTCTAGTTCCCATTTCTTTATTTTCCACATCTCTAGTTTCATTTGATCCTGGCGTAGGAATATATAAAAATGATTTATTCTTCTTTTTTCTATAAATAATGCACCCGACAATAATACAAGTGATTATTAACACAACAATAAGAGCACCGCCACCAATAATCAATCCTTTATATAATGGATTATCAAAAAAACTAGTCTCCGGAGTTGAAGTTGAAGTTGAATTTGACGTTGATTCAGTGTCAGGAATCTTACCATCTAAAGAGAAAAAAGAAAAGATGTGATGTGACATTTTAAAATCAAATAATACAATAAATAATTAGAGAATTAATTTACCAAGGAATGAAGAACCACATTTTGCAGTATATTGAAGTTTACGATTATCAATTTCACTTTGATTTGTGCCTAAAATAGCATAATCGCCAGGATTTAAAGCCAAGAAATTTAAAAAAACGTTTGCCAAAGCTTTTCCGCAATTAGTGCATACAATCGTAGGAGGAACATTTGTAATGTCAGGTAATACGGTAAAATTTAATGGATTAGTATTAGCAGGAGACACGCCGGCACCAGCAAATGTCGCATAATCTTGTCGATATTTAAAAAGACATGACCCTCCAGTAGTATTTTTAAAACAATATGAAGATATTAATGGGGAATAAAAAGTAAATAAAAGTTCAACGGCAAAAACGGCAGCATTATTTGCAGAAAGATCAGATGTACATTCTGTTTTAAAACTTGAGAGAGTCGAAGATATAGAAGTATCACTGCACTTTGGCAAACAAACGGTATTGTATAAATTAGTACGATCGGAAGAAGGGTTGCTTTGAGATAATAAAGAAGCAAGTTGGCTAAAAGGAATACAAGCATTTATATCTGACGAATTATAAATTTGCTCAAGTTTTGACTGACATGAGGGGGTAAGACTAACTGAAGAGAATAATGGATAACCTTTTACGATAAAACATGCGACACCTGTAACATTATTAGCAGCAGATGTAAAGTTACTAGCAGAAGGAGGAGTTGTTTGAGAGACTACAAAAGTAGAAAACAACGTAATATTAAGAATTATAACAAGTATTAACGTTAGATTTCTCATTTTTGTAGTGTTGATCAAATGCACAGTATCGGTACGTATATAATAATTAATGATTGGAGTCATATGACGCATTAGCCTCCGGAAACTACAATTCTAGGCACCAGTTATATATCCTTAAAAGTATAAGATCAACCCGATTTTATGGTCGTACGTATACAATTTAGCAATTCTTTCTCTATTAATGTATGGTGTTACTCTACGTACACACCTTGTGACTCTTTGCACGGTCTTACGAATCTTTAATTATCTAAATCAGGTCATAAAACTAAAATTTAAATAGTATGTATCTGAGATTTACCGGTTGAGTAGACACGAAAAGACATATGTAAAATTGTAATTTAAGGTCAAAACATTGAAAGGAAAACCATTTAAATACAGTATTTAGAAATATAATGTTGCGATACGAACTTAAGTGTTATGTACTGTACGCTTGATCTTTGAATTTGTGATGTGCTAATGCCGTTAATTGGATGGTTGATTGCTAGGACTACTGATGATTGTCTACTACGTAGTAACTCTCTTAATGATAAGGCTGAACCAACTTGACTTTGTGTTTTACCCCTGAAAATAGGGACAGTAGAATTTAAAATTTTTTCCTAAATAGTCCACAACCATATATATAATTGTCAAAAGGTTTTCTATTAAGAACGAAAGGAGAGGCGTAACGAAAACCCAGAATTCTATTAAGAATGAAAGGAGAGGCGTAACGTTAAACACAGAATTAAGTTGGTCTGGTCTAAGCCATCATAGGTTTATTTAATATGGTAAGACACCCGATTTTTTTTTTGAAACAATTTATATTATACGTAACGGTAACAGATCTACTTAATACCTATTTCAGTATTGTGGAATGATGTTCTGCAAAATTTCATCACCTTTGATGTGGCTAGGCCATTCACACCGTACTAATTTGGAATTCTTTTTTTGCTTTAATCAGTAATTCGGATAATTTGAAGATGTCTTATGACATCACCATGCTTACCTATGATAGCCTCATTCATAGCCACCGGGAGTTCTACGTAATTTCTTGACCGATCTCTGATTTTTGTCACAAAAATGTTACCTTTGATTGGGCAGAGTTGATTACTAACAAAGTTACGAAATCTGGTGTAATGTAAATTTTCGAAAAAAACCAAAATTTTTAAAAAATCTCTCAAAAACTTAAATTTTGTTTACGAAACAGCGCTCTACTAAAAATACTCCTTTAAAAAATCTTAATTAACTATAATGGCGTGCGTTATTATTTTCATATTCAATCAAAAAGACAAAATTAGAAAATTAACTACTTACGTAATAAGCTATGCTTTTTCGCTTCATGAGTGCTGCCAGGGGAAAAATGAGACTTCGGGCTTACAAGTTTATAATTAGTCAACCAGATTCAGCCTTGAAAATCCGATCGATTACATATATATTTTATTTAAAATCCAAAGTCTTGACAACACTAATTTAATTACATATAATATGTGTCGTCGATTAGAGGGCTGAATTCAGTAAATAATAAATAGTAAATAAAAAAAAACTGAAAGCCCCAAATCTTGGTAGCACTCATATGTAGTTATGTAGTACAATAAGCACAATTTAGGTTTTGCTACAAATGAGCAAAACGTTGTGTACGTACAACACGTACGTACGTACGTACTACGTAGCAATAACAGATAATTATCCCTTAAACCGTTTGGAATTCAGGCCAAATTTGCACTGAATTCTATTATAAAAATACTTCTGATCTATTTTT